TGTCTAACACACTGGAGAGTTTAATATCTGAAAACACTTACCATGATTTTTCTCAGCAGTCCATTTTAAGTGCTGAGGGAGATAATGTGGTGCCAGTGCTTCGGTATTGTGTTTCTGATCCTGTACGACTCTGTCCTTGAATGTGGAGTGTAAGTGCACAGTGGATGGAGAAAAGTTGCCAGCAAGAGCTATGCTAAGTGTTGCCATGCTCCTCACTGAATTACTTGAAAGCCTTTGGCTTACTGAATTTGAGCATCCCATGACACTTACATATATATATATATATCTACACACACACATATATATATTTAATATTCATCTTTTTTGGTGTTAAGGTAAACAGTTTATTATCTATATGAAGAATATATATTATCTATATGAAGTACGTGATGGGACATATTATGTTACTGCATCAGGCAAAAAGCATTTAAAGATACAACTGAAAAGCACTTCTGTTGGGGAAAAAATGGGGGCTGGATGGGAGTTGGACATGGCTGTTAATTATTCTTCTTATGCTGATCCCACTCAGATTTTGAGCCTGGTGATTGCACTGACAAAGGAGCAGCCTTGATTTCTGCACTTGTTAAAACTGGGCTCACAGATTGCGCTGGAGCTTTTACTGTTCTCGCAGAACATTTCTGTAGTTCCAGCAGTTTGATCACAAATGCAGCATCTCTTTCCTAACGCTGTGCAGGTTGATAAAACAGTTGCCGAGCTGGAGTCCCTAAAGAAATTATTAATTATCTGGTTAATGTGCATCAGGCTGTGGGAGTGCGAGATTAATCACCAGTGCTTGGATGAGTTGCTGAAGTGGGTTTTGGTTTTTCGTCTCCTGTCACTCGGTAATGGCTTTTCCTTCCTTCACCATCAGGAGAACAGGTGCAGAGATGCTGTATTTTCATTTTCCTGTAGTCGGTAACAGCCGGTGACCACGAGATGCCTTTTTCTCAGTCCTGCTGCATGAGCAGTTTACAACACGGACTGCTACCTGCTTCGGATGTTCCAGCTGTGGGAGATGCTCCAAGAGCACAGGACTGACCTGAGCCTTCCCAGATAAACACATTTGAACACAGGCACTCGGGGAGGAATGCTAGAGAGGAGTGTTGGGCTAAGCTGGGGCTGGCTTTTCTGTATTCCTCAGGTCTCAAAGGGGTTGACTTATATTTGGATGTGGAATCACATCTTGACTCCTATTTTGAACATATTTATATTATTCAGAATTTTTCAGTAAGTGAACATCCAGCATGCCTGTTCTGTGTAAGGCAACAAAAGAATAATGTGATCCTTTGTTGGAAGGATGCAGGAGAAGGTTCTTGTAGTTCAGTCTTTAGTGGTGCCATCCTTGAAGCTGATGGCTTCATAAATACTCAGCTGTGGGAGAATGAGTTACACTCCGTTCTGGTGGTGGTGGATTAGTCAGGGCATTCAGGTGCAACACTGCAGCACTTGTCCTGTCCTGTTAACTGCTGTTCACCACCAGCAGCTGCATCAGAAATTGTTCAATGAAGCCCTAAGGTCCCTACTGGGTTAAACACACTTGCACCACATAGTGCACTGATGAAAAAACTGAGAAGTAATTTGTCTTTTAAATGTTACAGTTGTGTTCCTAAATGGTGCCATAACAGCTCTACCTCAGGGTTAGGATCATTGGCTGGAGGAGTCTTTTGTTTTAGAGGCTACTGGTGAGTAGAGAAGGGTAGATGGAAGGATGCTGTGAGCATCTAAAGCAGATCACTTGCCTGAGGTTAGGGGAGCATCTCCTAGTTAAGAAGGGAAGGGGATGTAAGCAACAGCACAGCAGTCATTCCATTAATATGTGCTGAGGGACAGAACCTCTCTCTATTTATTATAAAGTCATTTGAATTACCTTGTCATCTCTAACACAAGTTTTGTTTCTCCCTGAGGAAGTTCTGTAAATGGCCATAGTTACTGAGTTAGAGATGCGTGGCACTTGAGGCCAGAGACCTGTTTTTAACCATCTATTTGACTATGTAGTATCAAGCTTTTTTTTTTTTTTTTTAATTGATGTGAACATGTAGGCGTTGGCTTTTGTCAGCTTATGGGTTTTGTTTCTTCTTGGCTGAACTAGTGGGGTTTTTGTCCCTGGTGAACTGAATTTTTGATTACCTTGCCTCTTCAAGCAGGCAGAGATGTATGTGAATTTGACATTACATTGCACTGTTCCATCACTGAGCTTTTGCAGTCCATATTCTACTACCCCAAATCCATCTTCAGCTAAAGATGCCACCTTGGGAAAGAAGTGTTCAGTTTTCAGAGAATTTGTTGTTTATAATAGCCATGTGCTCCAGTGTGGAATCCCTGAACAGTGCCATGATGGCATAAAACATCTATTTCTTTGGCAGGCTATGGTATAACTTTACATTAAAGGTAGGTGACCTGTTTGAGTTTGAAATTCCCTAACCAGCAAGTCAGAATGACCAGTGGTGTTTTAAATGTTAAGCAGTCTTCAGGGCTTCAGGTTGAGTATTTGCATCAGAGTCGTTTGGGTTTCTGTTCCTTGTAGGGCTTCCTGAGCTTGTTGTGATGAGTAAAATCAAGTTGACTTTGTTAAGCTCAGCAGTTCCTAGTACTAAAGGGGGAAATTAAGACCTTTAGGAGACACAAAGTAAATTTGTGTCTGTACAGGGATGCAGGTCACTTTTTTGTTTGACTTTGTGATGGTGATTTCCCCTTTTCTCGCAGGTGTGCTTGCCCACAGCAGTGTACAGAAGTTATTCAAGAGGAGTGTAAAACTTGGTGAATGTATTAACCATACAGTAACTCGCAAGACTCTTCTGTAGCTATTGATCCTTAGTGCTTAAAAATAATAGCAGATTCTCAGATGAGTAAATGGTGCAAATCCATGGCTAATTTACATGTACCATCACCTTGACTGCTTGTACAAATCAGGTAATTGTGCATGCAGATAGCTAATTAACACAATTAGCTGATCTGCTGATGCAGTCTCAGGATCTGTGTCTACTAGCCATGTAGTTATCATGTATCTGCAAACCAATTCTATGGAAAAGACTCTGGGCCCTTGTAACTGTTAGTAGGTGTGGGGAGTTGCTTGGTTTTTAACATCATGTGAGCATTATTAGTTTTGTGCTATGGCTTCATAAAAGCATCTGTGAATGTGGCTTGTTAAATACCTACTTATTTCTATTTTCAGATGAGCAAGATATTTCAGATTTTAAAGCAGCCCTACCTCCTTCCACCTTGGTAAAAAAAGAATTTACTCAGAAAAAGATTTAGAGTGACTCTCCTGGTTTTACCTTTTTGTCCAACTTGGAGATCTCTTCCTTAACGTTTGACTACTAAGCAATAATACCCAAGCAAGCTTAAACATGTAAATTGTCAAAGCTTTGCCATTGCATCAATGTACACTAAATACAAGTCCCAGGGATTTCAGAAGTGCTTTATTTATTTTTATAGCTGTTATGGGGTGGATAGACACTTTTCATCACAGTAATTATTTATACTTTCAAAGCAAACATAAAGTGAGCTAACAGTCAGTTCCTACAAAGCAAACATAACGTGAACTTACAAGCAGTTCCTACAAATAACGTAACATCAGCATTTGTGGCTTGAAGTTGAGTGTGTACAAAAGTAAGTAATAGCATAATCATCTTGAACTATCTTTTCAATAAACGTTTCCTAGTTATAAAATAGGAACCTGAATCCTGTGTTTTAGATTTCTGACCTACCCAACATCCCAGCTGCTCTCTGAATCTCCTTTCTTACAAGTGTGGTTTTATTTTAAAACAAAGATGAAATGTGCCAATACCACATAAATGGCCAGGATTCAAATCCTAGCAAAAAGTTTATGTTCAAGTCCACGCCACTGTATTCTCTTTCATATTTCTCACATTGATGTCTGTAATACATAGCATTGTCCTTTCTCAGGGGACTTCAAAATACATTGAAAAGCAGAGTTAGAAGCTGACTGTGCCGGGACTGTGTTGGCAAAAGGAGCACCTTATCAGGTGCTCCACAGTAGCACTCTTGTCCTCAGAATCTGCCCAATGGAGGGAATTAAATGTGGCCAGAAAAGCTGGGATATGTCTCTAACTGCTGTGAAATGTTTTACTGTTGTCTAGGTGGCCACTAGATAAAGACCTAAGGGACTTAAGTGAAAAACCAAACCTGTTTCTAGTAGAGTTGTATCTGTCTTTTGTGGTAGTTGGGTGCAGAGCTGGGAGAAAGCAGAGTGTCAGCCCTGATGTGGTCACGGTTCTCTCCACCTGAGGGCGGGGGTCTTTCTAAGCAGGAACAGAGGGAGAGGAAACCCCTCAGACACAGACAAATCTACATAAAGGTACATTTTTAAGGAAGCAGAATGAAAAGCATAGTGGAGACTTCCACACTTTTTGTCAGCAGAGTACACTGTGAAGAAGCATAAAGTCCATAGAGAGCCTCCTTTCTTTATCAAGCTGTGTAGTAGCATGATTCAGGGCAGGAATAAATGCCCGCCTTCACCAGTGCTGCCTGCATAGTCTTTAAAGGAGCAGTGGCAGCTGTTGGTTAAACACTTTACTTTAGACTTTGTTTTGACAGAAGCAACAGCTTTTATGATTTTACAATTCATTATTTCTCAATGACTCTTAAAATGTAATAAATAATTTGCTGTAAAAATCTTTCCTGTCACTGGTCAGCCAAATATCCCCATTGACTGTGACTTGGAGTTGAAAACTGATAGGAAATGAGAAGAAAGCAACAAGCAAAATAAGCAGTCTGTTTTTAGAGGCCAAACTGAGTAAGACTGAGAGAGACACGAAACTGAAATAATTCAAAAAGATGGCAAGCAAAACTTCTGTAGCTCTTTATGTTGGGAGAGCTTAAATCCTACTTCTACCAGGTTGCAGAACTGCTTGCAGAATTGAGGCTGAAGGCTGTAAGTGTCTTATACGCGTGTTTTTCCTTCTGACCTGACACTACCTGCGGGCTATATAGTGCCAGTCAGAAAAAAGAGCCATTTATTGAACTGAAAGTGTGAAGGGCAAAGATTATGCTTAACTCTGGTGGTGACGTTGAACAGCATTCCAACTCACCGAAAGTGTAATGTCCATGAATACAGACTTAGATCGATGTTCTACAGAATTCAGTGGGAAAACTTCTGCATGTGATGAGTTAAAGTTCCCACTCCCTGCTGTGTTTCATTAAGGACTAAAGGCAGGTTTTTTTATGCTCTAGAATGGCTTGTGGGCTTCTTTCAGAAAGGACACACTGCTGAGCAGCACCTCTGTTCCTAGGTATCTCACTTGGAAGGTCCTAAAAGTTGATAGTGGTTTTTTTTTCTCTCCAGTTACTCACAGGCATTAAATAAACTGAAAATGCAATGGTGATACAAGTGCCAAATTGCTGAGATATGCAGATGACTTCTCTCCATGCCCTTTCCTGTCGAGGACCATAGTGCCAGCCAGCAAGATGGCTGGTTGCCTTTGCCTGATCAAGGAATGCTTGAGGAACAGCTAATGGCTGAACACCTCTAAAATGGAGTTGATGGTTGTGAAGGGCAGGAGGAGTTGCTAGGAGTTGGTAACTAGTGTTCATCTAAAAATATGTGCCTGCAGTCACTCCCTCTAGCCTGTAATTCAGGAACCTGCTTAAAATCTCTCACATTATGATGTCCACAAAGCATGATCTTCATTATCTCCAGGTGATTAGAAGATGATGTTCCCTTCAGGCAAAAGATGGCATCTTCCCAGATATTTGCACCTTTGCGTTGTAGCCCACAGCCATTTGGTGTCCCTGGACCCGAAGGAGTAGGGCTAATTTGTTTTGTACAGCATGTAGGAGTGTGAGGCAGCGCCAGTCTCCATGAGCATCCTAGCACTGGCTTCCAGGCAGTTTTAAATCCTTTTTGAAATTCTGGGTGTTTATCTTTCAGTTTCCTTGTAGCTGGACCTTGCTTGGGTATTTTTATTATAGTCTTGTGACAAAAACTGTGATGAGTGGCTTTGTGCCTCCAGCACAATTGGCTGCTCTACAGTAGTGGTTTTAACTCTCTTTTTTTCCCCAAACATCTTCTATGGACTCATGGACAGCTTAGCAATGATTTTAACCTCAACTGTGTTAATCTTGGGCATTGCGAGTTTGTTGAGGTTTTATCAATAGAAACCTGTCAAAAGCCAGTGCTCTACAGCCAGTGCAGAGTTAGCCTGTGCTCCAGGCAGGATTTTCCTGTAGGATGGTTTGAAATGGATACGTGGACTTCCCCACAACTTTCCAGTCACATGCCTGGTCTCGTGCGCCGTGTATGTGGTTGACTTCATTCTTGCCTTCCCTATCATGACCACAGGGGCTCTTGTTTACAGTGCAAACAAAACGCTGCTTGAGTTGTTTTCTTTGTGGAGGGGATGAGAGAAGAAGTAACATGAGGTAATGATTCCTCGGTGAGCTAGTGCTGGGGACAGTGTGGTGATACCCCCTAGCACTTCTTGATCCCTATTACAGTGAAATATAAGCTGTTGCACCCTTCAGAAAGCAAAGGAAATGTGCCATGTGGCAGGCAAAGAAGAAAGCATCGTTTTGTCCCATAGCATCTTTATTTACAGAGTTTATCCTGAGAGGCTCAAAGCATCACTAACTGTAACAGAGACTCAGTACACAATGACTTACTTTCCCCAGTGAATCAACAATTATAAATGGACATTTAAGTTTTGAGGTCTTTGTATATCCCTAATGCAGGAATGAAGCTCCCAGATCAGCTGATGCTGGTGAGGAGATGTAGATGCGTTATTAGGTATAACTTGGTTTATCTCCTTTGACAATTTTCTGATACCTCTTGATCATTAAGGTCTGGATTAAGTGGGGAAAAAGCATTGCTTGTATAGGTGCTATGTAGCTTATGCCTCAGATCTTTTATGAGGGAGTTTAGGTGCTTAATGTCTTATAATTCAGAAAGAAAAATCAGCCTTGTGTCCAGCTTCCCTCTGTCAGGGGCCAAGCTGAGGGTTAGGTGAGCACATAATAGAAACCCAGATATTTGAAAATCATGTTTCCAGCTGTATTTACTGCAACTGTAGATGAAACGCATTAAAGAGGAAGGGGCTTTTGTGGGGGTGGTTTTACATTTGCTGAGTGGGTTTAATGAGGCTTAAGGTGTCATTCCTGGAAGAGCAGTCATTTTCTTTCCTGTGACCTGGCATCCTGACATTGTTGTGATGCACTGCTGTGTCAGGAGCATCCCTGGCACTGGGAAGAGGTGGCTTTCTGGCAGCGGCATCAGTGGTGTTGCACAGGTGAGAGAAGATGCTTGGCAGTTCTGGAAGAGAGTAGGAAAAGTAAGTCTGTATGTGTCTGGCTGCCCAAAACCCCCATCCTGATCTGCAGAGAAACCAGGGTTTCAGTATTTTGTTCCAAATCCCTACTCCACTGAAAATATAGTTGTTATTTGTAATTAATAAATAAATGGCTTTCATCCTGAGCCTGTAACAGAAAGCAGAAATCAAACTGTTCTGTCCTTCAGTCTGACCAGAAACGCCTGCTTGTGTTTCACAGGAACTCCACAGGCATTTCTGGTGCTCCTGAGCTGATGAAGGATCAGAAAGGCTATCACATTGCTTCACTGTGATAGCAGAAATACTGTGGTAATATTGAAAGACCTAGGGACTGATGTATTTAGCAGCCTGATGTACCCTAACCAGGGCAGTCCATTATTTATCCTAGTTTGTTCCTCTTCAGCACTTTTCATCTGAGGATTACGAAAAGTGAACTTCACCCTGTGAAGCTGTTATCATAATGGTTTATGGATGGAGAACTGAGGCTAATCTCGACATTCTGAAGGTTACCCTGCATGCCAGTCACACAAACAGTTGTGTGTCCTGTTTCCTGCTACTTTTTCCCTACCCTTTCTTAAAACACAAGGGGAGAAATCTATCTACGCAGGGTCTAACATAACTTAGCTAAGCAAGCATCATTTAAGTTGTTAGGTGAGACCTTCTGCAGGGGGATAAATTGGTTGAGAGCTTTGCAGGCTGCTTCACAAAAGACAAATGACTGCATGAAATTTGATTTGTGGAGAAACTGCTTCCTAGGAGAAAGCAGAACCTCAGCATCAGTAGATCTGCAAACTAATGATGTAAAAATAGCTTGGATAATAAAAAGCTGGTAAATAGAGGTATGATAGCAGTTGGGATTCATGTGAGAGACAAGCTAATCAGAGTCTGCAGGAATTTATTCCCTCACAGGGTTCCTCTGAGTCAGGTCACTTTTAGTTGAAGCAGAAGAATATCTATTTGTAGAAACCTAAAGTTATCTTCCTGTAAAACAAAGCAGAAAACTGCCCAACTGCAAGCTCGAGCCTGCTCAGAATAATCCAGATTTTTTTTGAAGGACTTTGGGGATATATATCCTTCTGAAGGTTCCCATTCTTCCTGTCTTTTCTTTGCCAAGTTAATAACTAGTTACTCCTTGATTATTGCTTATCATTGTCTACTTTTTCATGGATACAGCAAGGGACTATGAGGCTGTTAATAGCTATGCCCAGATCACCTTTCCTTCTCAAGCATGGTTTTATTAGCTTAAAAATACCAGTGCGAGTGAAACATCCTGAAGTTCCCGTACTTTTCCTTTATGTTAACTGAAATCCTGAGTGCTTTTCAGAGCATCCTCAGTGAATACCAGAAGTGTGTCTCCTTCTTCTTGCCTTAAATTGCTGCACCCCAACAGCATTGATCAACAACATCAGATGTGAAAGCTTGACTTAAGCAGTCCTAGTCTCTTTTTCATCCCGTAGTTGAACACTTTCTTTCATCTTTTCAGTTGTTCCTAAACACGGCAACAAGCATGGTTCTGCAACAGATGCAATTCTTTCTAGGTCTCTAGGTAACATTTTAACCTGTGTAATGCTCACAGCACAGCATCGTAAGTAATATTCCAGGAAATACGCTGCCGCTTGTTAAAAAGGATAGGACCCCAGAGATGCCTTTAAATATGCCTGTAAAGTGAGAGGTGCCAAGAGAAAGGATAATATGGCTGATTATAGTTATTTACCTTACATTTTCATTCGCCCTTAACTGGGTGTAATTTAGGGGCATGAAATCTCATATTGGAAGTGTATTTGCATTAAACAGCTCTAAGCAACCATGAAAGTGCAGAAGCTGAAAAATTGACAGACTGGGTTCCTAGAATCCCAAAGTAGCATTTTTTTTTAATAGGCATACAAACAAATCAAATAAACATGTTTTGCTTCAACAATTTAAAGAATATGGTCTTTGGAGTAATTTGTCTTTTTCTTTTTTTTAGAACTATCATTTCTAAGCTTTTCATTGCCTATCTCTAGTTTGCAGCTCCTCTTAACAATCTGCAGCAATTTCCAACCCAGCTGTTGTGGTTGCAGAGCACTGTGCCTTTGTTTAGCTTTCCCTCAGCTATCAAATCGGCCTATAAAGGGGATTACCTGGCTGGTGATGTTGTTTTTCAGGTCTGCACTTTTTAACAAATAATTGTTTCACTGTGGCTCTTTCCCTTCTCCCCCTCCTCCACCACCCCCCCCCCCAAAAAAAAAAAAACAAAAACACAACAAAAAAAAAAGAGGAAAAAAAAAAAAAAGGAAAAGCTCTGAAAAATCAAACTTTACAACTGAATAAAATCAGTTACCTAAATGAGTAGGTACCTTTGATAATCACCCACGTTTCCTTGCAAGTAATCACAAACAAGTTAGTTGAAATGAACTCCAAGAGTAGTGGATCTTTTCAATCAGATCGTTTATTTGTAGCAAGACTAGACTTACATTTTCGTAAGTTCTTTATTGAAAAAAGGATCTTTTTCACCTACTGTGTTGGTGTGCACTAAGCTTGAGGAATTCATAATACAACTGTTAAACAGGTATAATAATAAACTTCCACCTCTGCTTCCTAATAGTCAGTCAGTTCTTTTATATCGATCGCCTCTCCCATAAACAAGACAGTTAACTCAAGTTTGTGAATTGTGGGATCTTCGCATGAATGGACTTCTTGAAGTGAAAGCAGCAGCAAGATTTATTTCGGCATGTTGTAGAATTAATGATCAAAGAAGAAAAACTGGTAAAACTAGCTTTTTATATATAAGTCTTTATTAAACTTAATTCATGCTTAAGAATGCAGATGTCTGTCTAATATTGTATGCTCCCTATATTATGCTGTGTCAAAAGTTTTCTAACAATATGATTGAAATACATCTCTAGTACTAATTTTTTTGTGTTTTCTTATGTTGGGTGTTAATGGAAGCTGTTGTCTGTCTTGCTGTGCTCAGTGATAAAGATATATTTACTGTACTTGAGTATCTTCAGTGTTTCTCATTTTGCAAACACAGTACATCTTAATTAAGGCTTTTCACTCGAGGTCTAATGAACACATTTACTGTAATGTCTCCATCTTCAGGAGGTGAATTTGACTTAGAAATTGTCTCTGTCACAGAGGAGCCGATAATATCAGTTTAAAGATTTCTCATTTTCCTGGGGAGGAGCAGTTTGCCTGATTCATGCTGATCTTGCTGGGTACAAGGTAGAGTGCTCACCTAAAGGATCGCAGAGTGATGCATAGTGCAACAAACAGATGAGTAAAATTCCTAAGGACACCAATGCATCTGCATGAGACTGTCTATGAGACAGTCATGTTCTTTCTTCCCTTTTTACTTTGACACAGTTTCAGAGGTGGTTTATTGATTATATTTGGAAAGATTAAGAAACTCCTCAAATCACACTTCTGTTAGCATATGAGAGGACTTTGATCAAACAAACAATGAATTGTCTAAAATACACAGTGGAAAAAAGTAAATCCTATAAAAGCAGGTTTCAGTTGACCTTTTACCGGTGCCTGTTTTCACTCTTGCAGGTGGGGACTGGGCATGAGGAGGGTTGTTGTGCTCCTGCATCTCTAACTCATGTTACTCTTGGCATTAAAACTCTTGCTTTTAATTTCAAGTCAAAACTGTAACTAATTTTATTGTCATGTAAATATCATTTTATATCCTGATGTTGTGTGGGAAATCACTGAAGAGTGGATTTTGAATCTTCATAAGAAAGAAACTAAGCAAAGCATCAAATTTTTTGCTTGTTATTGTTGCAGCATTTTAAACTGCAGTGATTTTCAACTGGTTAAATCAAGGCTATATTATGAGGCCGTCATCAAGTGTAGACAGATACAGGATCAGACTGTGCTTGTGGCACAGAGGGGCTGAGAACAGAAGGTGCAATAAGATGATGGGAGAAGGCTGGTGTTATCCCCTAAAAGTGTATCCCCTGAAGAGTGTACAGCACAGGGATGCCCAAAAGAGAAGCCAGTGGGGTGGCTGCTTGCTTGTTGTCCTCAGATGTCTGGCTAGGGGCAGGAACTTATTTGGCAGGTAGTATGTGATTCACTTGTGGTCATCCAATGCAAATGTTTGGGAAGTTCTATTGCATCTGTTTTGCATGCAAGGAATCGCATCATACTGAGAGCAAAGCCCAGATTTTCAAATGTACTTAGGCACTGTGCACTGGTGTTCTCACCACAGGGGCACTCTGTGATGGTGAGAAGATCAAGGCTGCCTCACCTAAGTAGTACCATGGCACTTGTCCTTCCCTCCACCAGCCCATCCCTGACACAGGGGTGTTGGGAGCTGGCTGGTGACTGGGATGCTCTGCCTTCCATCTACTGCTGCAGAGGGGCAGGGAGTCAAGTGCTGTGAAGGGCCCTGAATGGGCTGCCTGTGAGGTGACAGGTTATTGCTGATGACAAACATGTGCCACTGATGGGTACACGCTTTTTTGACCTGCCTTAATTTTTCTAGCTGTGTCTTTAATTGCCAGGGAAAGGCATAGACAAATGTAATAAAAAAGCCGACCAAACTGGAATTATAGCAAGGCTCTGCAAAGAAATATGTTTAGAAAGATTTTTATTTTTTTTTTTCTTTTAATTAATCGGGATTTTGTTGTCAGGCTAAAACAAACTAAAAATAAACAGCTGTATAGTACTTCATTAAGCTGCCTGCTTGGAGTGATTTTCCCATTGATTAGTCTCAGGGCTAATGCTGGTTCATTCCTTATTTCATTGCTAATTAACATCAGCTCTGCTCCTGACCACTTGACCGCACTCTCTCTGTGAACATGTGCTGGTTTGGCAAGTAATGACTGTTCCCTCCCTCTTAAAAGGGAGAATTAAGGGAGAAAATAGCTATCAGGAGTAGATCTCTGGCTGCTTCTACTGTAAAGAGAGCGAACTGTAAAACCGTATCGGGCCCGTATGAAGGGTAATAAATGTAGTTTACAGAGCACAGGAGTTTGATTGAGGAACTATGTAAATACAGATGATGAGCTCAAGCTGCTCTATGAATTGACAGGATTGGCTCATCTACTGTCAGTCGAGTTGATTCAGGCTCTTCTGGGATGTTCGCGGAGCAGATTACCTGACCCAGGGGCTTATGACCGCTAGCCGTCAGGGAGAGGGCTGCTTTGGACGGGCAGCACTTTTCCAAGTCTCCGCAATGTTCTCAGAGTCCGAGTAATGAAACACATTGGCAGCAGGTGCGGCAAGCGCAGGAAACGTAATGCCACGGTTATAGATTTGTCAGGCCACTTCCATGCAAGCAGAATGTAGATGGAAATAGGGGAATGAAATATTAGGATTGGCATGGATGCACTCTGAGAAAATATCTAACAACTTTAATGAAATTAGCAGCCTCTGGTCTGGGTGAAAAGGTCGAGGGGGGGGGGGGGGGGGATTTTTTTTCCATAAACCGAAGTAAACTGGCATTTTGGAAAACATCACTAAACTTGGCACAGAATGAATAATATTATCCCAAAGTCTTGGTTCAATTCCAGATCATAGCATTTTCTTCTAATTGAATTGGGTATTGCATTTCATTTTCAGAAAGTCTCTTTGTTATTTTTAATTCCTACATTTTGAAGCATTCATATCTCAGACCTAATCAGAAACTCAGCCTTATACAAATCTATCAGTCAGGAGCAGTCACTGGAGAGAGAGCTTGCCTGAGTGATAATCCTTTTCTACCTACTTTTGAGCAGAATCCTAATTCACTTGTTCATCAATTATATATTTTATATATTTCCACCATTAATTTAGTGGATTTAGGGCTCAGTCTTGCAAACACTTCTGCACGTGAGTTACTATTCATGCAAGCAGGCTGCTCATGTGGGTAAAATTAACCCTGTGAGATATTTGTAGGATCAAATTCAGTAGCTGGATGTATCCACACACAAAGCCATTGCCTTCCTTATTGCCCTTCTTTGATCTGTTGTAACAAGAAACATTTTTTACCCAAGTGAATAAAGAAAAGTAATCAAGATTTTAGTAACTGTACCAACTGTGATAAGGTAGAGAAGTAATTCCCATGTTTAGGAACGTAACACTTTACATTGGAAAGAGCTGCCTCCTAATTAAGTATTGCATGATTGGTTACATCATGTAGCCTTCATGCATGGTTCTGGAACTGGCCGTAGAGCAGAGACAAAAGTGTAGGAAATCAGGTTTGGGTTTTTTTTTGTCAACTGACTTTAGAAAAGGCTAAAACCATATTGTGCTGCAGACTTTGAGCAGTTGGACGATGGAAATGAAGTTTTGCTTGTTGTTCCCGGGATACATCCAGCATCCTCTTTCTAAAAAAAGATGCCTACAATATTATTAACTTTTCTCATGATATTTCTGTTTTCCAGTCCTGGACATTTGCAGAAAATACCCCCAGCAAATATTTACATTAATAATAAATAAACCCAAGATGAAATATTTCATTGGCTGCTTTTAAGCTGTATGGAGTCCTGTTTGAGGGAGTGTCTTGGTCTGTATCTTCTTCTGATGGGTCAGTAGATACACTCTCTTGCTTTGCATTCAGATATTTCATGTTCTGCCCTCCGGTGGAGAGGTATCGGGAACTGGTAAAATGTTGATTCATTGTTGATGTAAAAATAACATCAAATTTGTTTTCTTTTCTCTTGCTTCTGTAGTGAAATAAGCATATCCATATACTTTTGCATATGTGTATTATGAGCAAGTGTAGTTCTTTGGCACAACAGGGGCCAAGCCACTTGCTGGCTGCCCCACGTTGAGGAGGGCTTTCTGGACAGCTTCACGGGCAGTGTGACGTGGGGTAGCACCACTGGGCAGTGCCCAGGGCCCAGGGACAAGCTCTGGAGCCCCCACTGCAGGGTTGGAGGGGACCATAACAGTGATGGAGAGAAGATGCACGCCAAGCACTATGGGCAGGACTGTGGCTTGGAGGTGCTGGCTGCCTGATATGTTTAGCTAAAGCAGTATATCTATGAATAGTTCCTTACCTGTTACCAAAGCATTTAATAATGAAGTTAAAAGCTGTGTATTTCCTGTTTTTCTTATATGCCGCTTCATTCTAAGAATGTCAAAGGAAGGAGCTGAAACGTTTTTAAAAACTCTTATGAAGGTGGCATGCTTTAAATAAGATCTTAGAGGAGGCTGACATGGTGACAGACTTTGTGATCCTCAGCAGTGGGACTATTTAAGATATAAATGTTATGATAAAGTTGTCTTTTCTGGT